AGGTGGTTCTGTATGGGAGGCCATGTGGGAAGCATGCTGACCTCTGTGCCAGGCCCCTGGAGGGTCCTGGGCTACACAAGGGGATGTGGAGGTGCCGTGAGAGGTCACTGTAGCATCCCTTGGGGACTGTGAGGGCCTGTTGGCAATACCACCCGGTGTCTCTGCAGTCCCTGTGGGGGTCTGTGTGGGGTCTCTGAGCTCTCAGAGGGTCTGGGGGGCTCTGTGTGGTGCCCTGAGAGCTGTGCATGGAGACGCTGTGGGAGGGGCCCTGCTGGTCTCCACCCCTGCTGGAGGGGAGGCCTTGGGGATCTCTGAGCTGGGTTTCTGTGTGAGGTCTGTAGTTCACTCTCAGGATAGGTCTCTGTCTGAGATGTTGGTAGGGATTCTCCAGGGGGTCTCCAGCAGGGTATTCTCTTGAGGTTTTTGTAAGGGGCTTCTTCAGGGATCTGTCTGGTCTCTGCTGTGGCCCAGCTCTCCTAAGATCCTGGGCCGCCTCACTGCTACCTTCCCTGGCAGCTGTCTCTTCCCTGGTGGCAATAGAACCAGCTCCATGAGCAGCCTGGCTGGGGCAGCAGGTGCAGGATCTGTGCCTTCCCCTTCCCCTCACCCACTGGGGCAGTCCCTTCTGGCCACTGTGTGTCAATAGCCCTGGGCCTTGTGCCCACTTGTCCTCCACTGGCCTCAGGGAAGGCAAAGCCCCAAGATGTGATAGGGATTCCTGCCAGCCCTGGCCCTCCCTCCTGACTTACTGTGGGAGCAACCCCAGGGGCCATGTGTCTGTAATGGTTACCAGACTGTGATCCCTGAAGTTACCAACTTGTCCTTTTTGGAATTGCAGAGGGATGGGCACACAGGCTGATCACATATGCACCAGGGAAAGCCACTTTCTTGCAAGAGGTTTTGTGTCCCTGACCCCACCCTCCATGTTGGAGTCACAGCACATTCCCCTTGGCCAGCAGGGGGTCTGGGCATGGGTCTGTCACCCATGCGCTTTGCTGCCTTTCCGGCTCCGACCTGTCAAAACTTCTCCCATGCTACACTTTGTGCCACAGTCAGATGGCTCCCATATATGTGGTCTTGTCAGAGGGTCCAGTAGGGAACCCCTCTACCCTAGACTTTAGCAGGGAGGAAGGGGACTCGGTCTGTTCCCCACCATGAGCTGGGATTCAGATCTCTGTGCCCGAACCCAGGGCCAGCTCCCTAGACCTGCAGCTTTCAGGCCCACATCCAGAAGGCTACATGGCTCCCACATTCCTGGAACCTGAGGGGAATTTCCACCCTAAGAGGCCTCTGTAAACCCATCCCCCACTGCTACATATGGTTGAGGGAAGGCAGGAAAGAGAGGTGAGCCAGGCCCTGGGGTGGGATCTCCACATGGTTTTCTGGTCCTGAAGGCTCTGTGTAATGGCTGAGTTGTGATAACAGGTGTGGTGAGGGACCCTGAGGTGAGAGTGGGTGTGTAAGCTCCTGCCAGCCTCCTCCTTACCGGTCCCTTCTAGAAGCCACACTCAGGAAAAGCAGACTGATGCCTCCCCAGCATCCCAGCCCCCCACAGACAGAAGCCAATACTTCTGATGAGAAAAGGAGAGAAGACGTCTCTATTAGGAAGGTGCTTTCTGGTAAGAAGAAGCACTGTTAGCATACAAGTGCTGTGCTCTAGTTCTGCCTGACCTGGAGTTCATCTGGCAGGAGAAATGCGATCCGCTTGACCAGACAAGACACCTCTAGGCAGATGGCAGTGCCTGGGGCAATGAATGTGGTGGCTGGAGGCTTTTGCTGCCCTTGGTCTATGCTGGCAAGGCCTGGCTGGGGGAGCCCAGTTGATGGCTCTGACCCCTCTGTTGTCAGTAGGGTAGCTGAGACGCATGAGGGTGGCGTGGTGACTGTGGCCCATATCACTGCTCACTCTCCTTTGCTCTGGGTGGGAGGGATTCGTGTGGTAACTGTTATGCCCACCAACTGGGGCCTGGAGTTCCTTTTTGTGCCAATTGCCCTTTGAGGCTGGAAGTTCATGATGAAGTCCCATTTTCTTCTCTAGGATCTGCCCGATAGTCACCATGAGGTCCTGGGCTTCAGCCATCTCTCTGTCCATAAATGATCTGCCTGTGGATGGTCCCCAGCAATGGGCACTGACAGGTGCAGGCTTGCAGTTTTGCAGGGCCTCTTCCTGCCCTGGGCCTTTCTTATGCAAAATCCACTGCAGAAACTGCCTCATTTTATTTCTAAAGCAGCTTCCTGTGGGGAATTGTCTCTTGTTGGGCAGGAGAAGGGAGGACTTGCTTCTTAATGACTCTGCTACTCCCCTATCCTGGGCAGGGTGGCTTGTGCCACTGGCTTGGGAAGCCCTTGTTCTGACAATCCTTTTTTCCTGCCCCCGTGGTTTGGGCCTCCTCCAGAACTCTCTCTTATCAGTAGGGCCAACCATGTCCCTCTGACTCCCCCATGAGTCCTGGGGTTTCAGGATCCCCATCTCCTGCTTCTCTTCTTTGGTCTCCACTGGCCCCTTGGTCTCCAGGGCCCCTGAAGATTGGGATGCTACAGTGAGCTCCAGCATTGTTTGGTTACCCCTAGGATCTCCCAAGGCCTCGCTCTTCTGCTCCCATGGCTCATTCCTGGCCATTGCTGGACTTGGACTTGGCCCTGGGCTGCCTCTCTCAGCCCCCAGGACCATCACACTGTGCTGGCTTCTGCCTATGTGGGGCTGAGAAGGCCACCTGCCCTCCTGTCCAGTGGAAGGGGCCTCTAAGCGCCACCGACTGTCACTATACTGGGTGCCTCTCAGGTCTGCCTGGATGTCTTCACCCACAGGTGGGAGGCCAGGGAGAAGACCAGGCATGGTGAGGACTTTCTTTCCTGGACCTCCCCAAGGGGAGGAAAGGAAATTGGTGACTGTGGAGTTGTGCCCAAATTCATAGGTGGCCCAGGAGGGAAAGGTGGAGTGTGGAAAGGGCAGGGTTTGAGGTCTTTTCAACATAAATTGATTTTTGGCCCTGATGATCTTGAGGGGCAGGCCCCATCTGTGCCTCACCTGTAACTTTTTAACATGTGCTTCTAGTACCTGTTGAGTGGTCGTACCCGGGAGATGTTCCTGCAGGGTGTCCTTGCAGGATTCCCGATCCTTTGAGATGGCCAAGTTTCCAGGGCCCACATGCATATTTGAGTTTTTAGGAGGGGCCAAGTCTTGGTCAGCAGTGAGCCTGGAGCGGTGAGCACTCATAGAGCTGCCCCTGTCCTTAATTTTCCTCCCTCTGAAGTTGTTTCTTGTGCCACGTCCTGAGGGTCTCGTCACGGCTCTTTCTGACTCTGACTCAGAGCTGGCCCCTGGAACTGTCACTGGGGTGTTCCGTG